CCGGTTTTTCTTCCCGAGTAGTTTTTTGACGGTCTCGAGGCCCGGTAGGGGCCCCGAGAGGCCGAAAACTATGATAAATCTCCGTCTCGATTTTTTCGAGACGCCCGATGTCTGGGGTTATCTCCTCGATGCCCGGACCCCCGACGTGGTATTTTTTCACAGCGTGGACGCCGCCCAAGGTCTCGACCCGTTCTGCAGATCAGCGCTGTCGTCCCAAGCTGACTGTTGTTGACTGGCCGTGGCGACGGCTAGTAGGAGGAGGAGGAGGAGGAGGAGGAGGAGGAGGAGGAGGAGGAGGAGGAGGAGGAACCCGCAAGGCCAAGCTTCAGCAGGGGCCCCCGGGAGCTGGAAATGTCCCCGAGCCTTCCGCCGTTTCTCTTTCGCGACGTGAGGATGTCTGGGCTTCTCCAGGCTCGTGGGTCAAACATGCCCCCTGGCACTCTCCAGTGGTGCGTCCCGTCGAGCTTCAGAAGGAGTGCAGCCATGGCCACGAGGGCGCCCCAAGAGACCCCCCCTCCCCAACAACTCTGGCCTCTAATCTGGAAGCGTGTCCGAACCCATCCCTCCTCAGGGCAGCACAGCTGGTTGCCGAGAGGAGGCTGCAACACCGATCAACGATGTGCTGCCAACCCAGCCTGCCAACCGAGCCTGCAGGGTGGGCCATTCCCATTTCCCTGCGCTCCAACTCCGGCTTCGGCTTCGGCTGTGATGCGCTTCGAAGCGCCATGGGGCCAGCTTATCTCAGGTCGGGCATGTCCCCCTCCAGGCGGACTTTGGACGAACCCCAAAAAATACCACCCCAATGCCCCCAAACTGCTCAAAAATGGTCAAACAATCGTCCCCAGACTATCTTTTGACTATTCTTGAATCTTCCTCCTGTAGAGGGGCAGGCCCGACTTAAAAGCTTCTCCGAATCGGTTTGCCGCTCGCACGGGCTCAGACACGCAACGCCTTGGTCGTTTCCAGGAGGGGAAAAAACACACAGACACAATTCATCGTCGACTCCCCAGAAATTACAGGAAACTATGGGAAGTGGGGGGGGAGACAAAAACCCAGAAAATAGAAGGACATATGGGGCATCTTTTTTTTATGTGTGCGTGTGTGGATTTATTTGTGTGTCCCAGGGCCCCTGCACGTTTGTCCACCCGCGGGCCCCGGAAGCCCCGGCCCGTGCCCCGGGGCCGGCCTCTCGGCCCCAGCCGTGTTCCGACGGCCCCGGGGCGCGGCGAGGGCCCCCGGAGGCAGAGGCCCGCCGCACACCTCCCGCGGTGTCTTGGCCCTCCTGCTCCTCCTCCTCCTCCTCCTCCTCCTCCTCCTCCTCCTCCTCCTCCTCCTCCTCCTCCTACCCCTCCTCCTCCTCCTCTCGTCCTTTCGCCGCCTCCCTCCTTTCGCCTCCCTCAGAGGGGGGGGTGCAAATCATGACCGGCGGCATGTGCGCGGCCCAGCGGGGGGGCCTGGGACGTAATGAAATAAGAAGAGGCGCCATGAAATCCGAGGAAATCTCATGGCCCGCGCCATGATATCCACCCCCCCCTAGTCATCACCCCCCTCTTTTCCGCTCCCGACTCACGGTGCGAAGGCGTCTGGAGGTGCCGCCCTCCCACTCGCGCGGCTGGCGGCCAGGCCGCGGGTCCTTTCGCGGCTGGTTGGCGGTCATGTACATCTCGCCCGCCGCTCGCAGGTCGCCGTCCTCCTCGGAGGAAGCGGCCTGCTTCAAGATCAGGCCTTCGCAGGGCGGCGGGGAACGGGGAGACGTCGTGCGGCGGCGACGACGACGACGTCGAAGGCGGTGACGACGTCGACGGCGACGGCCGCGGCGACAACGTCGACTATGTTGTTCCGCAGGCTGCTGGGCGACGCAGCGAAACTCCGACCAGGACGGACCCCCCGTGCGGTCTGAGGACGAGTCTTGAGCGGATGCCTCGGGGGCGACCAAGGGACGTGGAAGAGGGGGGTTAGCCAAGTTAGGTGCGCTCGCGTCAACATCTGACATCCTACCCCTCCCTCCCATCCCTTACCATGGCGCTGATTTTCTCTATCCGCGGACGCGTGTCGTAGCGGACCTGTGGCTCCGCGCGCGTGTGCGTAGTGGGTGGTGGTGCGCGTGCGTGCGTGCGTGTGTGCGTGGTTGTGGTTGTTGTGGTGGTGGTGTGTATGTGTGTGTGTGTGCGTGTGTGCGCGTGTGCTGTGGTGTGACGTGGTGTGGCGTCTTGGTGGTTTGGTGGTGGGCCAGGTGCGTACGTGCGTGATGGCGGTGGTGGTGGTGGTGGTGGCGGTGGTGGTGTGTGTGTGTGTGTGTCTGTGTGTGTGCGCATGTGTGTGCGATTATGTGTGTGTGTGTGTGTTTGCGTGCGTGCGTGTGTGTCTGTGTGTGCGCGCGTGTGATGTGGTGTGACGCGGTGTAGCGTGGTGGTGGTGGGTGGGGTAGTGCGGTGGTGGTGGCGGTGCGCGGTGGTGGTGCGCGTGCGTGCGTGCGTGCGTTGGTGGGTGGAAGTGGCGGTGGGTGTGCGTGCGGCGGGGCGGGGCGTGGTGCGGCGCGGTGGTGGCGGGCGGATGGGCGCGCGAGAAAGAGGCCCGCGCTGGGGCGAGAACGCCATCCTGAACGACGGAGGCAAAACACCGATCCGAAAATGAGGCCCACGCTGCAGCGGGAGCACGATTCGGAACGATTCGGGAGCAGAAATGAAGCCGGCGCCTCAGCGAGAGCAGCATTTTGAAAAAAAACGGAGGCGAAAACCCAACTCCCGGGAATCCTGTGTGTAAAAAAACAGTACGCGGGGGGGGGGTCGAATATTCCCAGGACGCCATCAGGGAAAGAGGGAGAGTAGTATTCATATTGAGTAATTGTAAATCATGGCCCGGGGCATGTGCGCGGACGAGGGGGGGGGCAGCGAACGTGCCGAAAGAAGAAGAAGAGGGGGCCAGGACACGTGGGCGATTTCGGAAGCCCTGAACCCAACAACGTTTCCATCTCTTGGGGGCGCATGTTTTACTTCCGCCGCCTTCCGCCGAGCTTCCGCCGGCGGAGGCAACCTCGCTTTACTTCCACCGACCTTCCGCCGCGAAAGGGATGCCAACTCCTTCGATCCTCGAGGGCACGGCCCTTCTTGGCACGCCTCACAGGGGAGGCAACTTGGCCCCGGCCTTGACATCCCCACCTGCCCGTGGTCCAAGGGCTCCCAACGTCGCGCTTCGAAGCTGCGCGAAGCTGCGCCAAGCGCGAATCACTCCGCGCTCCCGCGCCGCCTCCCAGGGGAGAAGCGGCGGAGGAGGAGGAGTCGGAGCCGCACCGCGCAGCGCGAATAGCTTCGCGCCTTCGGGGGCGCCCTTGTGGTCGTCCCCCCCCCTCTTGGACGGCCCCGGATGTCGCACCGATCGGGGACCGCGCTCGCCAAGAGAGAGCCGAGAGCCTGCTCGGCGCGTCGTGCCGCTCTCGGGCTCCACCGGGGGCCGCTCCGCTGTGCGCCATCGGGCACTCCCGAGCGCCCCGGGCTGCCTCGCCCCGGCGCTCCCGTCGCCACTGGCCAGAGGGTGACGACGCAGCACGCTGTAGGTCGGGCATCCCCCGACCGGGGGATGCTGGATGACAAATAAAAAAATACCCTAAAGATGCCCCCCAAACGCTCCAACATGGTAGCACAAATCGTCATCCGTCTGGTTTTGGGGGGATTCTGTTTGAAAATCCCCCCTGGAGAGGGACTGGCCCGACTGAAAGCACGCCTCGACCGCGACTCTCATCAGGAGCCATGCTGCCCTGTCTTGGCCAGGCGCAGGCCCAGACACGCGGCCAGTCTGACAAAGACCACGGGAGCGAGCCGTCGCACGCCTTCGGCGCTCTCTGGCTTGAGGTATGCCGTGGGTTGCGCTGCCTTTTGCTCTGCGGTGCTTCAGGCTGTCCTACAGTGGGGGCTCGGCCACAAGAAACCTCCACAAGAAACCCAACCCTGAACTCCGCGATTTGTTCAGCGAAGATCCAAATTTGTCGATCGAAGATCGTCAAGATCTTTTTTGGGGGCCCATCGAAATCCAAGAAACCCAGGGCACCCTGGCAGAATCCAACTGGTTTCTTGGCACGCGCCCCCACTGTACGCTGGCTCTCCCTGTTGTGCATTTGTGTTGGACTGCGCTGCACTCCAATACGCCGCATGCAGTGGACTGCGCTGCAGTGTACTGGACTTTCGGCTCGTCGGCACCAGTGGGCGCTGTTGGTGCCCCATGGTGCCCTACGGAGCTGTGCGTGTACATGAGAACGGGCGGTGTGTTTGGCTCGGCGCCACCCCTTGGGGGGCCCTTGGTGCCTACGGTACCCTATGAAACTCTGTGTGTGTGCGTGAGCGTGAGCGTGAGCGTGTGCGTGTGTGTGTGTGTGTGTGTGTGTGTGTGTGTGTGTGTGCGTGTGTGCGTGTGTGCGTGTGTGTGTGTGTGTGTGTGTGCGTGCGTCCTGTGTGTGTGTGTGCGTGCGTGTGTGTGTGAGAGAGAGAGTGATTGTGTGTGTGTGCGCGTGTGTGTGTGTGTGTGTGTGTGTGGGAGTGTGTGTGGGGCGAGGCGAGACTTGTCGGCTCGTCGCCTGCCCTAAGCGCTCTTTGTGCCTCACGGTGCCCTGCGGCGCCCCATGGTTCGGCTCGGCGCGGAAGTATCAGCCGCAGCAGTTGCTCTGGGCGTGGGAGACGATCTTGGAGCTCCAGAGGCCCCGCGCGAAGAATCTTGATAGTCAGTGTCGCAGCAAAAAGAATCGAGCAACTTTGGCGCACTGCTCTTGTAGCCAGTAGGCTGCCGCGTACAACTAACGCTGCAACTGTAAATTCAGATGATTGCTAATCTATTTGGGTCTCACTTGCCCTTCTTCCCCTCCGGGCATGGACTGCCCAGCGCGTCGACAAATCCGGCGCGGTTGCCAGACCCATGCCACGGCACCGCTCCGTGCCTGGAATTGCTGGCCACGGCGGCGGCCGCGCCCCGCGCGGGCCCGCCGCCGCCGCGGAGGGCGACGCCGAGGGCGCTCAGTTCTGCATGCGGATCGAGTCGTCCCACCTGCGCAGGCCCGACAACTCCACCAGAAGCAGACACGACGCCAGAAAGATAAACTCTTGGCGCTCCGCGCGGGTGTCTTGGATCTGCGCTGGACCCCCCCCCGTCCCTGGCGGCGCGGGGCGGCGCTGGAGGCGCCGCCCAGGGGGGCCCGGCGCGGATCCGAGCAATCCGTGCGCAGCGCCAGACTGTTCGTGCGGCGCTCTTCCTTCCTCGGCCCACGGGGCACAGGCCATCGGACGTGCGCGCGGACCTCTCGGGTCGGCGCCGACCCCCGCTCCCCCGCACCCGCTTTCCTGGCGCGCGCTGGGGGGTCGGCGCCCGCGGCGCCGCCCACGGGCGGCGGGGAGGGGGGCGTCTGTCGCCGACCCGAGATGCCCGCGCGGACCCCCTTCATTTTCGGCGCTGGCAGGCAAGGAACGGATCCTGAGGACAACGGGCTCTGGAACCCGTAGCTTTCCCCAAGGCCAAAGCTGGACCCAAACGTTGCTTTTCATGTTGTTGTCGTTTTGTGTTTCGTCTTGCTCTGCTTGTTTTCCCGTACCCCCCTGCCAAAACGAAGAACAAAGCACAGCCGAAATCCAGCACAACGGCGTTCCGGTCCAGCCCTGCCCAAGGCATCCCAGGCAATGTTTGTTGGCCGTCCCGGGGCCCGCGGAGGCCCCCGAGAGCCCGAACACGGCACACAAAACACCTCAGAACCAGTTTCCCGCATGAACCACTTGCTTCACGGTCGGGCCACAACTCAAGTCTCCCGTGGCCGGTCGGAGCGATCTGGGCACCCTGGGAATGCCGTCGGAGAGGCGCAGCCGCTGGAACGCGGGAAGACGCCGAGGACCGACGAAAACGCCCGCAAACCTCAAACTCGAGCCCGGAACCCTGATGGTTCATGGGAGCTGACTTTTACTATCTCGTGTAGCGGTAACGCTTGGGCGGGGTGGGCATGCGATAGCCGCAGCAGACCTGTGAGCAACATAATCTGCCTTCGGGCACCCACATGTGGGGTGTGGGGCTTCCAAACCTCACCTCCACGTGCGATCGTTACTGTTGTCCGGGGGGGGGGGGGGGCAGGTAAAGACCGACGCGGGCCAGACGACACACAAATGCTCTCGTGGTGGTCGGCACCTGCGCGACGACCAAAAATGGGCTTTGCGCGAGGTGGCGTAGCGACCTTGCGCCGCAGCTTATGCGGGCCGCCGAAGACGACCCCGTTTTTTGGCGTCGCCCACCTGTAGCCCAGCCCCCCGGGCTCCCACACGCCATCGGGGTTGAAAGGGTGGCGCCCGTACTCTATGGGGATGCGGCCCACGCCGGGCAGCACGGCGTCGGCGTGGAAGGGCCCGAGGCCTCGAACTGTCGTGCGGTGCAGGATCCGGAGGCCGTCAGCGCTCTTGCTCCGCTCGTGCGCCGTGGCGTCGGCCTTCTTTTTTTGTTGTCGTCCAGTGCGCAGCGGTGGTCATGAAGGGTTTACAGCCGGAAACACCGCGACGCAAAGTACACACAGAAACGCACAGCACCAAAATCGGCACGTGCCCCGACCGAACTCCGTGGATCACCAAGCCTGGAAAGAAGAAGCTGGGGGTGTGGCGGCAAGGGTGGGGAAAGAAAGACGAGGAGGGAGAGTGGGCAGCGTGGTGCGCCGTGCCGTCGGCCTTGTGAGCAACGGCGAGGTTGTCGATGATCACGAGGTCGCCAGTCCTTAGAGTCAGAAAGGAAACGGCATGAACATAAACTTTTGCAGCTCCGAGAGGATGTCTTGAATCGGCACCTCCTGCGCCGCCACGCCAGGGAGGGGGCCCTAGGGCGCGCCAGGGGCGCCGCAGGGAGGGCCCAATCGCCGATTCAAGAGAACCGCCTGGAGCTCCGAACGTGTGTGTTCCTGTTGGCTTTCGCCTCCTGTGAAGTCCTGTACTGGTGCTTCCAGTGGACGCGGCTGTCGTTCAGCAGGTCGTTGTAGCGGTTGAACAGCACCTTCATCTCGTCTGGAGGCAGCAGCCGGAAATTCGACGGGCTGTTGTCGTCCTCTCCCGTGGCCGCGATCGGCCGGACACGCTCCAGCACGGCACCCGTCATCCCCAGGTGCAGATCTGCGGGCGCCCCCGGGCGGGGCTTCCGGATGGCGTGAGGCGTGGCGAGCTCTCCTCTGGCTGGTGTCGGACACCCAGTGCAGCGAGCATGATACCTCTCGGGGCGGGGGGGCGACTTTTCATGTCCGCTGCCTTCCGCCGAGCTTCCGCCAGAGGAGTAGCCCCCCGCCTGTCTCCCGCCGCTTGTCGCCGAGGAGAAGAGATCTGTGCCAGCTCCCTTGAGGCTCGACGGCGAGGCCCCTCCCCTGAAGCGCCCCGCATGTGTGCCCCAGTGCGGCCAGGACTGCGACTCAGGGGGCCTCGGCTGGAGAGGCCTGGCCCAGCTCTCCGACACAGCGCTCGGAGCAGGTGTCGGCCCAGCCTCGCGCGTGCCCGGGGCCCGAAACGGTGCGCAAGCGTCAAGCTCTAAACAATTGATACGCCAACATCGCAGGACTCCGTCTGCCACCGCTTGCCCGAGCCCCCATGCGCTTGCTCGAGCCCTTTCTAAGGGCTGACGAAGACTTGGACCTGGCGGCGGATCGGGAGCGGCCAAGAAGGGGGTGTCCAAGAGGGGGGGTGCAAATCACGACCGGCGGCATGTGCGCGGCCCAGCGGGGGGGCCAGGGACGTAATGAAACAAGAGGCGCCATGAAATCTGGGGAGATATCATGGCCCCCGCCATGATATCCACCCCCCTAGTCATCACCCCCCTCTTTTCCGCCCCCATGCGGAGGGGCGTGGCGGAGCAGAAGACCGGGACCATGACCAAGACCGAACGCGGAGGCGTCGTACCGATCTTGGTCACCGCCGCTCCTGGTCAACGTCAACTCGTGGACTATTCTCGCGCATCGGCGATGGCGGACATGCCCACGCGAAGGCCCGGGCCGCGCACGCCGAAGTCGAGCAACGCTTCTCCTCCTCCTCCTCCTTCCTCATCCTCCTCCTCCTCCTCCTCCTCCCCGTCCTCCTCCTCCTCCTCCTCCTCCTCCTCCTCCTCCTCCTCCTCCTCCTCCTCCTCCTCCCCGTCCTCCTCCTCCTCCTCCTGCTCCTCCTCCCCGTCCTCCCCGTCCTCCTCCTTCTCCTCCTCCTGGACCATGACTAAGATCGGCATCGACAAACTCCTGCAACATATCTTGGCCATGGCCCCCGTGGTTCCTGCCTGGAGGGCGGGGCACGGCGCCGAGGGTGCGCAGCTGGAGTGACGCGGAGCGCAGAGCCCGCAGCTGGAGCGACCTGGCCAAGGTTAGAAGAAACAGAAACGCCATACACATAAACTTTTGTTGGCGCGCCGCGTGGATTTCTTGGATCTGCGCTGGACCCCCCTCCCTGGCGCGCTCCCTGGCGCGCGGAGCGCGCCAGGGATGGGGGCCGGAGGCGCCGCCGGGGGGGGGGGGGCCCAGCGCGGATCCAAGAAACCCGCGCGGAGCGACACAAGTTTATGTTCATGGCGTCGTTTCTTCTTCGAAGGATGGAAGCCCTGAGATCCCGGCGCTGCAGCGCTTCCGCTCCGGGCGGCTTTGGCGCGCTTCGGGCTCCCTCGGGGCCGTCACGGCTCGATACTGCTCGGAAAGCTGCAGCAGGGAGCAGGGGTCCAGGGCCCGAGTCGTGACTTTTCGCGGCGCCGCCTTGTTGTTCGCGCCGACGGACCTCGGGGGACGGAGCGGAGCGCACACTGCGAGTCCGATAGGGCTCGCCCTGCGAGGGCAGCGCGGGCGGGCCGGGTTCCCGAGTTGGTTGGGAGTCCCGAAACGGTGCGGTGACAGACCGTGCGGTGGCCTCGAAATCCCCCAAGACCTCACCGCACGGTCCGTCAACGCACGGTTTGGGACCTCGGAGGCCCCTGTCGCCCGAGACATCCTCGGAGAGGGACTCGAATCCCAAAACCGTGCGGTGACCCCGAATCTCCACCGACTCACCGCACGGTGCGGTCACCACCCCGTTTGGGGCCCCCCGAGTTGGGAGTCGGAGCGGCGGGAGCCGGAGTCGGAGCGACGGGAGCCGGAGGGAGGCGGCTAGGAGTCGAAGCCGGAAGACGTGTCTTGTAAAGCTGAGGCGGATGGGCTCGATGATCGGCACGTTTTCGGGTAGGGCGCACAAGGGAGGACCAGCTTCTCGACAGCCGAGGCAATCGGCGCTCTGGCCACCCTGGTCTACGCTACTCTGCATTACTCTACTCTCCCCTACCCTACACTACTCAACCGTGCTCTACCGTTCTCAACCCTACTCTACCCTACTCTACTATACTCTACTCCACTCTGCCCTGCCCTATTATACTCCGACCCTACTCGATTGTACTCTCCTCACCACTTCTCTACTATCCTCTGCTCTGCCCTACTCTATCATACACAATTTGACTCTACCACCTACACTACTCTACTCTTCTCTACTCTACTCTGCTCCGCTCCTCTACTCGACTCTACCCAAATACACTCTACCCTGCATCACCCTACTCTCTACTCTACTCTATTCTACTCTACTCTACTCTACTCTACTCTACTCCTACTCTATTCCTACTCTTCTCCTACTCCACTCGCCTCTCCTCTCCTCTACTCCACTCGGCTCGACCCTAATCTTCTCTACTCTCCGTAGCCATTTTGGCTCAAGCCGCTTTTCGCTTGTCTCTCTCGGTTGTGGCCCTGCGGGTGCAGAGTGCAAACGGCTTCGGATGATGGCTACGGTGGGCTGCCAAGTCGCCCTCGCGGCGGCCAGGCAGCCCCCAGCGGGATGGCGAGGGGCGCGCCTCCCTGTGGCCTGCGCGGCGAGCCCGTCAGGACGCGGCTCGCCAGGCTGAACGCGGGCGACCCCGAGCCGCCCTTGGGCGGGTTGCGTGCCTGGAGGCGGAGCTCTCGCTTGCCACGGTGCGCCACGACGCCGCTGCTGTGCGCGCGGTGCAGCTGGCCGCCGGCGACGGCTCCCTCGGCCAGGCGCCCGCCGTGCCCGTGCTGGAGGGCGTCTTAGCTGCCGCGAAGGCCCGCGCGGCTCCGAGGGAGTCCGCGTCCCAGCCACGTCAGGGGGCGGAGGCACCTGCGCGCCCGCGCCTGTGGCGATGCTCCCTGCGACAGGCCTCGGCGAAGGACGCGCGCGAAGCCCCCCTCGACACCGCCAGGAGCAGCGCGGGGATGCACTGCGGGTCGAAGCGGAGGCTCAGCATCGCAGGCACGAGGGGCGGCCTCCCCCAATCGCCTGCAGAGGTCAGCGCAGCGGGAGCGGGAGTGCCAAGGAGCACAGCGTCGGCACGCTCGAGATGCAGGTGCACGCGATCGTGCGGCCCTTCCTCTCCTTCACCCTGGTGCAGCTGGTCTTCAGCCAGGCGGGCAGCGGCCAGGCGTCCGGAGGCCGCCGTCGACGGCGTTCGCCCCCCCCACTGCCGCGTGCCCGCCATGAGCGCGGTTGGCGACGCGGCGCCGTGCTTCTGGGCCCTGGCGCAGCGTCGGGGACGGAGCGGACCAGCGGGGACTCTAGCCGAGCGCGTCCACACCGCGGAGGAGGTCAAGCGTCCCCAGCAGGCTTCCGGAGCGCATGGGGCGGACGGCGGCCTCCCAGGCAGCTGGGCGCTACGCCGAGCATAGGAGGGGTCGGCCCAGGTGCCCTCTGAAGACGTGCCGAGGCCGACACCCACCAAGACGAAAAGCAGCGGCCCGTCGGCGGCAACCTTGCTATGCAGGCGACGGAGCGGACGGCTCCGATGCTGGCAAGGACTCGACGCCGTCGCTTAGTCAGCGGGTGCCGTGCCTGGGCCCCTTCGGGGGAAAGCTGCTCTTGAGGTGCCGCGTGCCAGGCCGTGGCTCCCTCCTGCCGAGGCGAGGGCCGACGCCGACGACGGCCAGGTGGTGCGGGGCTCCATCAGAGCTGGGCCCCCTGGCGGCAGCTATCCTCCTCCGCCCCCTCGTCCTCCTCCTCGTCCTCCTCCTCCTCCTCCTCCTCCTCCTCCTCCTCCTCCTCCTCCCCCTCCTCCTCCTCCCTTCCTCCTCTTCCTGCTCCTCCCTCCCCTCCTCCTCCACCTCCCTCCATCCTCCTCCTCTCCTCCTCCTCCTCCTCCTCCTCCTCCTCCTCCTCCTCCTCCTCCTCCTCCTCCTCCTCCTCCTCCTCCTCCCTCCTCCTCCTCATCCTCCCGGCGTCGCGCAGGCTGCGAACGGTGCAGCAGCACGTGGTGGCGAGCCAGTCCGCAGTCGCCGATGGTCGTGACACGTGGAGGCCTGGCTGGCAAGCTGCGGACGCCAGGGCGGGCTCGCCAGCCCCACCCACGGCGGACGAGCAACGAGCTGGATAGGCATGGCTCCGCGAGACTCTCGAGGCCAGGCTCGCCGACGCCTGTGGGCCCCGCAGGCTCGCGGTGCTCAGGAACCACGTGCGCGATGCTGCCACTATCGACCTGTGAGCGGATGTAGAGGGGCTCAATGTCGCCAAGAGGCACGAGCTGAAGGCGAGCCTCAAGAAGCAGCGCTCTCGGAGGTAATGGCAGTCTTTCCATTACGGTGTAAATGGCAACCATCTTGGAGTGGAAGACCTTTCGGTGCCGAGGTTAACCGAACACGGAACCAATCGGCGTCGAGGCTTCGGCGTGTAATCGAGGGCGGCTGCGAGGAGCCTTTTCCTTCATACTCCTCTCTCGGCCACTGCTGGAGCATTGATTCCTGTCCACCTGTAACCGAGCCATCTGTGGCAGCTAGAACCGAACTGCTATGTGGCTGCTCATATCCGTGTCTGTGAAGGCCGTCTCGAAGTGGGGGCTGCGCGCGCCCACCTCGCCCTCGGCACCAGCTGGGGGCTTGAGCGTGGAAGGCCTGCTGGCGGAGTTGGCTGCAAGCACGGACTGCCACCCCTCCAGGAGGTGGGCGGACTGACGGCAAGATGTGCGTGCTCCACTCTACCCTGCTCATGCTATACTCTACTCTTCTCTCCTCTGCTCTGCTCTCTTCTCATCTCCTCCTCTACTAATATACTCTTCTCTACTCTACTCTATTTTGCTCTGCTCGACCCTACTCTATTATCATGTACTCTACTCTACTCTACTCTATTCTACTCTACCCTACCTCTGAATTGACGATTGTTGGGCGGTTGTTGGGACGCCACGGGATAATCGCAGGAAGCCTTTTGACATAGTTTTGCAATAGCGCAGAAAGCTCTTCCAATGGCAGAGGAAGCCACTGCAATATTTTGGCGCAACATAAAAGGAAAAGGGGGGAAGACATCGGACTTGTTCTTTCTGCGACCAGCAACAAAACGGCCTGCGATTGGAAAAGCCATGGCTTGCGCACTCGGTGGCCGATAGCAAATCTACTTGCTGACGGGTTCGGCCAGTCCAGTTAGTTCAACCAGTCCACCTCGCGAAACACAAATTCGGGCTACGATTTTAATCTCCCATCCTTTTGGTCCACGCGTGCCACGATGCCGCCCACAAAGAGCCCCACTCCAGCCCCAAACGGTCCCAATATGGCCCAAGAGGCGACCCAAGATGGCCCGGTGGGCCGTCAGGATGCCCCCCAAGATGGTCTCAAGAGGTCGCCAAAATGGCCTAAGAGAGCCTAAGATGGCCCAGTGCCCCCGAGAGGCCCTAAGACCCTCTCAAGGTAACCTCGGAGGCAGCCAAGACCCCCCCCCACCCCCCCAGAGACACTCAACGTCACCTCGCGGCGCCCTCGAGGCCCCCAAGAGGGTTCTCGAGGCGACCTGTCGACAGAAGCTGGTCCCGGTGCCCCCCCGCGCCCCGTGGCGGCTGCGGAGACGCGCGGTCCAACAGCTTGGCCACGCCGTGGCCCGACGTCTGGCCACGCAGGGGGATTTTGGGCGAAATATAAAAGTTATCCCAGCGCGATTCTACCTTGGAGTTGGAGCCTCTAGGAAAGCAACGTTAGTAGGAGCGGTAAACGCCGTCCTCCTCCTTCTCCTCATCGTCGTAGTTGTAGCTGTAGCGGTAGTAGTAGTAGTAGTAGTAGTAGTAGTAGTAGTAGTAGTAGTAGTAGTAGTAGTAGTAGTAGTAGTAGTAGTAGTAGTAGTAGTAGTAGTAGTAGTGGTGGTGGTGGTGGTAGTAGTAGTAGTAGTAGTAGTAGTAGTAGTAGTAGTAGTAGTAGTAGTAGTAGTAGTAGTAGTAGTAGTAGTAGTAGTAGTAGTAGTAGTAGCAGTAGTAGTAGTATAGTAGTAGTAGTAGTAGTAGTAGTAGTAGTAGTAGTAGTAGTAGTAGTAGTAGTAGTAGTAGTAGTAGTCGTAGTCGTAGTCGTAGTAGTCGTAGTAGTAGTAGTAGTAGTAGTAGTAGTAGTAGTAGTAGTAGTAGTAGTAGTAGTAGTAGTAGCGCCAGAGCCGCCGACGCCACGCAGAAAGTGAAGCAGCGGCAGAAGCAGGCAGCAAGTCGCCGAGACAGCAGCAAAACCAAGCAGGCCACCGATTCACGGCCGCGATGGAACTGAACGCCTCTGCAGATTGTTCAACACTGCTTGGAACATTGTTCTCTGCAAGATGCTCAACACTGCTTGCTGGGTCTCGTGCCTCGCCACTCGAGGTCCGTAAGAATGCCCGCATGACGCAATACACTGCTGCACGCTCTTGCGTGGCTCTGCGAGTCACGGCATTGATGCTGAACGGCAACGAGGATGAAAGGCATTACGACGCGGTGCTGAACAAATACATGCACACACACGCACACACACACATGCAACATTCCATACTTGCATATATAGAAAGACATTTAGGACATACGATAATACGTCGGGTTTCATGTCTCCCGGCCGGTGCTATGTGCGAAACCTTCGTGAATCCTAAGGGCTCAAGCTGCCCCACTAAGGGCTCAAGATGGCCCAGAGACGGACAACATGCATGGAACATACGTGCGCACACATACATATAAGTAATATATAGATAGCAGCAGCAATAGTGGATGCTGTGCTGCATTCTGCTGTGCTATGCTATGCCATGCTATGCTCTGCTCTGCTCTGCTTTGCTATGCTATGCTATGCTATGCTATGCTATGCTGCGCAATGCTATGCTGGGCTAGACTAGGCTATGCTATGCTATGCTGTGCTATGCTGCGCTATGCTATGCCGCGCTATGCTATGCTATGCTGCGCTATGCTATGCTTTTGTTTTGCCCTCGCTTTTGCCTTCACTTTTGCCTTTGCTTTTGCTTTTGCTTGGCACCCAGGGAGCGCAACCGGGGGAACCGCGCGTTTGCTTTTACCTTTGCTGTTGCTCTTGCTTGGCTCCCAGGGGACTGGGGGAACCGCCCGGGGCGGTTTCCACTGCCCGGCCCCTTTAAGCCAACAGAGTAACAACCCTTCTAGGCAGAGCCTAGGTAGGGAAATAGTCCAAACAAATATGTACCCCCAAATGGTCAAACAATACTCAAAAATCGTCCCCATACTATTTTTCCTTTGATTAATTTTGCATACTCCTCCTGTAGAGGGACACGCCCGACCTAAAGCTGCAGCAAGGCGCGCCCCAAGCCAAGACTGGTTCTGCGAACCAGGATGTCAAGACTCACAGATGGCTGCGCGCCGGTGCACAGAAGGGCTGAGCAAAGCGGTGAGCTCGGACCTCGCGGCAAACGCCGGAGGCTCCTTCGATAGATGTGGGTGCGCCCCGTGAGCGCGTGCTGGTACACGACGGGATGGACGACCCCGCCGTTGCTGTTCACGGACGCCAGGCGGCTCCACTTCTCCTCGGGCGGCGCGCACGGGATCTCTGCCGCAGCTGCGCCCCCCCCGCCGCAGGGCGGGGGCGCACAGGTGCGGCGAGCTGCCAAGGCGCTGGGGGGGGTACAGGATCCTCGCCTCAGGGCCCCCCCCCCCCTGCCCCCTTCAAGGGACGCATACGAACAAAACCCTTGCTGCAAGAGATCTTGGGGACCGTTCTTCGTCGAGCTTTGAGGGTCCTGACTGAGATGCCCCAGAGCTGCTGTGGATCCCGGGGCCCCTCTGGAGATGCGAAATTTCCGTGGGGCAGCTGCTGGCAGGCAGATTTCTTATCTGATGTGCCGACGCTGGTGTGTTCGAGTGCACCCCCCTCTCCCCTCCGACAGGCCCTGCCCCCCGAGGGGGGAAGGGTGGGGGGGGGCGTGGCTAGGCCAGAAGCGACATCTGGGCTTCACGCAAGCCTGCGAACCTCTTTGGCCCAGCACTGCTTGGAGCGGCGGCTGTTGGGGGGGTGCATGCCACGCAAACAAACGTGCCCGAGTCTACAGTCGGACCTAGGCCCTAGCCCAGAAAAAAAACATCCTTCAAGAACATGAGACCCTCCGTGGGCCAAAACAAACAGAACATCCAAGGGCACCCTTCCCAGGATTCACAAGAACATCCAACAAGCACGACAAGCACCAGGGCATCCTCCCCGAACCGATCTCGATCTTACACCTCGGTCCGAGTGTAATTGAGGGATGAAAAAACGACCCTACCCTGGGTTACAAGTGCGTGGTCTGCAAACCTCCTGGGACCCCCCAAAGCCTAGAGCCGCCAGGACGCGGCACACCACGCACGGTGCACCCTGCCAGCCCACAGGAGTTTCAGCGCACGGCGCCTCGTAAACCAGGGTAGGGGCGTTTTTTTATGCCCTTGATGCAAAGTAAACCGCCCCCTCTCAGCGAATCAGCTCGCGCAACTGCCCTCTCTGGCGCCTCCGGGCGCCGGAGGTGTCCAGGCGGGCGCCCGGCGCCCGGGCCAGACACCGATGGCAATTCGCGTGCGCACCCTTCCCCTCCTCCTCCTCCTCCTCCTCCTCCTCTTCCTCCTCCTCTTCCTCCTCCTCCTCCTCTTCCTCCTCCTCCTCCTCCTCCTCCTCCTCCTCCTCCTCCTCCTCCTCCTGTTCCCCGAGGCCCCCTTTCGCCCTGACCCGCACGGAGGGGAGGGCCCACGGAGCGCGGCGCCCTGGCCGCCCACCACCCCTGCGGGGCTCGACTCGCCATCGCTCGGACGTTCGTCCCCGGTGCTTTTTTTCGGGTTCGTGCGTGGCCTCCTCGCCAAACGGTCCAGGATGCTCCGCGAGGGTCCTCGCCGAAGGAAAAAGGCACACGTCCGAGCGATGCCAAGTGAAGGGGGCGCGCGGTGGGAGTGCCCCCGCGCCGATCTCCTTCTCGGCCGCGGTCAGGCCGAACTCCTGGGCCCACGGCAGGGACGTCGACGCAAAGTACGTCTCCCCTCCGGCCGCGGGCGCCTTCACCGAGTAGTACCCGACGTGCGAGAAGGGCGCCTCCAGTTCTGTTGCTCCCAGCGTACTTGAGGACCACATCCCAGAAATAATCTCGAGCACCCGGGACATGCGTCGAAAGAGTGTCGCAACAGTGTCGGACGAGTGTCTCCCAGGGCCCGACACGTGAAAACCCTGGAGATTCTGTACTTTTCTGGTGCTCGAAATTCTTTCTGGTGATCAAGATTCAAGTAAGTTGGAACATCATAAGCCTCCAGGAAGCTGCCGTCGTTGTGCCACTGGGGGCCCACGCCAAGTATTCCGACGTTCTCGTCGTTGCTGAGCCTGAAGATGTGCCGATTCGGCGCCTCCGGGTGGACCCCGTGCGTCGAATGTATCTCCTCTCGCTGGTCCCCGCCCCCGAACCCCCCCCCACGCCGAACTTATCCGCACACCGCATTCTCGAGGAGAGCCGGAGGGTGGTGCCCAACAGGGCCAGCATCTCCTCGAGAAGGCATGCTCAAAGGATATCGCGGTGATGAGGGTGTCAAGGTGCTACAAGAATACAAAGCGGTGCAAACATAGACTCTCGAAGTTCCGCGCAGATTTCATGGGTCGGCGCTGGATCACCCTCTCGTTATTCCCCTTCCGCAGCGCGCGGAGCGCACTGGGTGCGGCGCTGGAGGCGCCGTCAGGGGTGGCGGGGAAGGGTCGATAACCCTCAGAACGTGTGTTCGCGCCAACGTGGGCTTTTCCACCGAAGTCCTTCAATTCCAAGAAGACGGTGTAATGAGGGCCGACACAGGATGCGTGGTACAGGCGGAGCCAAATGGGGTAATCACGCTTTGGGCCAATACACGTCCCAAGTCCCAAAGGTCATCGAATGGGGGCTCCGCCACCGACACAAAAATCCGCGCGGGCACTCAACAGTTCATGATCATCCGCCACCGTGCCTCTGGACACAGAGTGGACGCGTCTTCAGGTCCTTTGGCCAATCCCCTGAGCCTCAATCCTCACTCCTGGGAAGTCTTCAAAAGGACCAGAGCCCAAATTCACAAATCTCCGGGGGCTTGGCGCGGTTCCCCTGGGCCGTGGCGCATCTTGTCGCGTGACTTTTTCGGACCCAAGGGGGCCCGAGGGCCTCTGACCCACCACCCAGGCACGGTGGCGGGATAGACCGAAGGCCATTCCCAGACCCCCGACGTCATGAATTTCCCATGACGTGGACCCCGGAAATAGCGTTTCATCCCGAGTCGACCTTTGACGGCCCCGAGGGCCGGCGAGGGCCCAAGGGGCCGAAAAAAAGGGAACCACTCCTCGCCGTGCCGTTCTCACAACTCGAGAGGGTCTGCGTTAGATGCAGTGCTTGCCTGCAGCGTACCCCCGGGCGCCGTGATCTCTGCCGCAGCGTGGACCCCCCGGGGTCTGGGCCACTTGAGCAGGGACCGACCGTCCCGGCATTCCTATAGTCCTACCACGAAATGTTCTTAGAACCCAAACATGTTCTAAGAACAAACACAATGTTCTTAGAACACATTCCCCGATGTGATAAAACAAGACAGGCACCGCCGGAAATGTTCTAAGAACATTTCCTGGAAACCACAACAAGTTCTCAGAACATTGTTTGGCGGGGCTATAGGCGAGCCGGGACGCTTCGCCACTGCTTGGGTCTGGGCCGCTTCCCCCCCCCGGAAGCCGCTGCCCCCCCTCCCCCCCCCAGAAGGAGCGCGAACCCAGTCTGCTGCGAGGGCCCGTGACCTCGGGAGCGGGGGCGACGCATGCAATGAGGCGCGTGTGGGGGGGCCTCCTCCTCCGTCCTCCTCCTCCTCCTCCTCCTCCTCCTTCTCCTCCCGGGGTCTGGGCCGCTTCCCCCCCCCCCCCCCGAAGCCGGCTGCCCACCCATGGAGCCGCCTTAAGGCGGCGCCCAGGGCCCCAGCCCCGGCGGGGGGGCCCCAGGAGGGCGAGAAGACGGCCAGGGGCCGTCCTCGCCCCGAGCTCTGCACCACCGCGCGGAGGGGGGGTCTCGGGGCTGGCGGCGCGCAGAAGGGGGTAGAGTTCGGTCGGGCGTGGATGATGTTGGAGGGACAGTAGAGAAGAGTCAAACAATAGTAGAAAAAACCTCCCCGGACTATTTTTGTTACTACTTTTGTATACTCCTCCTGTAGAGGGACACGCCCGACTGCAGGGTAGAGGGAGGGGGGAAGGCTTCTTAGAAGGCGGCTGCCTCTTAGAGGGCGACGGCCGCCCCTCTGAGAAGCCAGGGGCGCGCCGCTTCTCAGAAGCACCCCGGCAGCTTCTTAGAAACACGGAGCTGCTTCTCAAAAAATTAAGAAAGCTTCGTAAACTGAAACCACCTGCTTCTTAGAAGCTCGCCAGGAACATCTTCTAAGAAGCAGCCACAATATGCTTAGAAGGGGCGCCCGCGCCTTCTACGAAGGGGGTGCCTCTAAGACGCTATCCCTACGCAGGAGAGGTGAGGCCGTCGATCCTTGCCGCCGAAGAGAGCGCTCGCCTGCACCTGCTCATCTCCAGTCAGGGCCTCCTGGTCGCGAAAGACAGCGAACCCGCGTTCCGCCATGAGGCCCTCCAGCTCGGCAATCACCGACCCCGAGGGCTTCGGGCCCCCATTCGAGGAAGGAACATCAAGATAGACATAGACTTTCGGAGCTCCACGCGGACTTCTCGCATCGGCATTGGACCCCCCTGGCTGCGCCTCCTGCGCCGCCCCCAGCGCGCCCCGCGCGCAAGGGAGGGGGACCCAGCGCCGGCCCAAGAACTCCGCGCGGACCTCCGAACGTTGATATGCTCGTGCAGGCTTTTCTCCCTCGACCTCAGCTGCATCCCCACCACCTCGAACCCGAGCCCCTCGGGTGCGCCGGCGAGGGGAAAGGCGCGGAAGTTGGGCGACAGGGAGCGGCTGTCCGCCTCTGGAGCGGCGCACGTGTCCTGGCCGCTGGCGCCCATTGCGAGGAGGGGGAGGGGGAGGGGGAGGGGGAGGAGGAGATTCTGGAGATTCTGCCTGATCGCGTAGCGATTGGATGAAATTAAAGATCCGCTACCCTCCGTGGGGTGCGTTGGTCTCTGGCTTCGCGCTCAGCTCGACTGAGAGCCTTAGGCCAGAGTCCCTTGGCGATTCTCCGCAGGTAAGCAACGCCTGTCGGAGTTGGGGTCTCGCACCGACCCCCGAGTTTCCCGAGAAGCTGGTTTGCGTATGACCCGCAGACGGAACAGAACCAAAGATTCAGCCCAGCGTGGAACCTTCAAGTGTGTGTCGAGTCAACATATCCCCCTGCGACGTGTACCTGTTTCCCAAGAGGAGCCATCATATAGGTGCCATCGACATTACATAGGTCGAAGCATTCGCTAGCAAGCCACTGGGCCCTTGAGGCCAGCGTGGTAGTGGTCCTACAGCGGGTGCACTTGGATCCACAGAGGGCTACAGAGTGCTGGGACTGGAACAGGGCACAAACGCGGGGGGCGGGTGGCCTCTGTGGGGCCACACCTTTCTGCCTCTTTGGGCGGAATTCCCCAGAGGATTGCTCGATATTCCTGGCGTGCTCAAGCGCTTCGAGAGATGTGCGTAGCAATCTCATGCGTACGAGAAAAGCCTTTTGCTCAATCAATGCGTATTGCTGTCTGTCGGAGGTAGGGATTCTGGCTGCCTGTGCTGCGCCTCCTGCGATCTCGTCCGCCACTGTGTTGCCGTAGGCGAGGGTGGCGGGGATCTTGCCCTGGAGGACATCCTGGGCACTCATGTGCGAGGGGATCCACAGTATGGTGAGGGAGCCGCGGCGAGAGGAGATGTTACGTCCGAGTCGTGCCCATAGGTCGGCGTCTGGTCCGACTGGATTGTCCGTGTGTCCATTGTGGTAGTTGTTGTAGCAGCCCTCACTGTCGGTGAAGTAGACGAGGTCGTTGGTGATGCTCTCAGCTGCTACTACTAGGGCCATGAGTTCACCACGTATGACGGTCTGTCGGCTGCCCGCGAGAGGCCCCCAGGTTGCGCCCTGTAGCGGCATGTCGTGCTTATTGAGGTCGGCGAAAAAAGCGACACCTATACCGATCCTCCTCAGGGGGGTGGCAGCAGTGTCGGGGCCGCCACTGGCGTCGCCGAAGGCGTATGTCGGGCGTCCTCCAACGTGGTCCATGCATCCTTCGTTGTGCTCGTTGCAGTTGAAGTGTTCCCATTGGTCGTGCTGTGGTGGTGGCGGGAGAGCTGTCCACTGCGCAGGTAGTAGGCCTCGTGTCCAGAAACACTCGAACATGGCTCGTTGAGAGGCAGCCTCTGCACAGAGTGTGTTGGAGGCGAGTATGATGTTGTTGGCGCTGTTGCCCTCGCACTCCCAGCATCGGTGGTAGTCATCCTCGTCACTGGTTCCACAGCGTGGGCATGTAGTGGTAGTGGTGGTGGATGTTTCGGCGGCGACTCTGGAGCGTGTCCACATGGCACCCACTGCGATGGTGAGCATGAGGCTCGCGAGGCGTGCGCCGTCTGCGAGACTCTCGAGGTGCCGAAGAAGCCTGCGGTAGGAGTAGTTGTCGATTCCTTGCTGCATGCCCTCTCCGCCGTGGTGGGTACTGGCCCGCTGCCATTGTTGGTGCTGGATGCTGGCGTCGAGGTCATGAAATAATTGATGTGGGATGTCGGCGTCGGGGTGTCCTGTGAGCCGCTTCGCGTCGAACTCCCATGTGTCTCCGCATTCGGAGAGTGCTGGCGGGAGGCGCCATTTGTTGGGCTCCAGTGGTTCCCAGTCGTGCTGCATGAGGTAGTGGATGATGGTCGATTGTGGCCCACGTATGTGCCGTACCCGTACATGTGGCGGCATGGTCTTGAAATTGGTGACGACGGTCTTCCAGGTGGCTTGAATAACACGTTGGAGGGGTCCTCCTTGTATCCAGGTTGTGAGCCATGCCTTGAGTGCGTCGTGTGGTAGTTTGCGGGCTGGGTCATGAGCGCGTAGGTCAAGTAGGGTAGTGAGGCATCGTCCTCTTAGTCGAGGTCCCACTGCGTCAGCGACGCGTCGGCGGTAAGTGGTCATAGTCGTGCCGAATGCGCCGTAGACTTGGTGTCCGTAGGTGACTGCTGGCATCCCTCCTTGTACTGCGAGCTTGGATGAAATACGATACCGACGTGTGGCACGTGTGAAGCGAAGTATCTTCTGGTGCATGGCGTCGTGCTTGCGACGTCGCTGGGTGGTGGTGCGTCGCGCATGTCGTATACCGCAGCCGAGGTCGATGCCGAGATAGCTGGCCTGGGTGTTGGCGCGGATGGGGAAACCCTTCCTTCTCATGGCGTTGGCAATGTATCTGGCGTCGTCGTGGTGTGTGCAGACGATGACGCTCTTCTTAGCAACGTTTAAGCCCTGGTCCTGGAGCGCCGTGCAGGTGTCGGCGAGGCAAGCTACCATGCGGCGGCGTAAAGCTCGTCGGCTGGCTTGCAGGCGCTGCGACAGGTCGTCGACCCAAATGCGGTGCTGGAGGTCGGGGTAGTGATGTGCGATGCGCTGTAGTGCCTTGTAGGTCATGATCTTGGCGAAACGTGTACCTGAGCGTAGTCCCTGTACGACAGAGCGTGTGGGGTGGAGTGCTTCCGCATACGCACCGCTCTGCATGAGCGAGCGCGGGGCGGTGCACTGCAATATCTCCAGTCCGAGAACTTCAGGTGGGAAATTGAGGTCGAGCGCGTCGTTGATGAGGGTGACCCAGTGGATGGAATCGTAGAACTGGGCGATGTCCAGTAGCCCGTGCGCCTGCGGGATGCTGAGGTAGGTCGAAAGTTCCTCGTGCAGGCACCTTTCGTACGCCTCACGGAAGGCCGAGTTGCCTTTGGCTATGGCGTCCCAGTGTGCGAAATAGTCTCGATTCCACTGTTGTACATGTTCTTCACGTGCCATGGACCACAGTCGTGCAACCATCGTCATGAGGCCGAGGATGCGGTCACCGTTGTCCTTCTTGGCCCGCATGACACCGATGGTGTGTAGGAGTTGGTGTGGCCAAGCTTGGAGTCGTTCCGCTGTAGTAAGTAGGTCGGCAAATTCCTGGAGTGCCTCTTGAGGGAGCCGCTGGAAATCTCCAGGTCGTAGACGGTCGGCACCAAGCGCGGTGTTGGCCTTGAGGCGGGAAGCGGCCCGTCGGAGGTCGTCCGCGGTGAGCGCGGGGAGTGGGCACTCCTGGATGCGGTCGACGATGCGCTGGAAGGCGGCCTCCAGGCTGTGGTAGTCGACGTCGTGGGGGGCCCACAGGTCGGTCCAGGTCTGTATCTTCTGGTCGATGAGCTCCTTGGGGTGCATGATGGTGCCTCCGTCGGACAATGTGACCTCTGCTGGCTGTGGTTGGGGCCGTAGGGAGCGATGGAGTGTTCCCAAGGCCTCGGGCGTGGTTGCCCACTCGCTGAATGCACGAACGGACTTGCGTATTGCCCGTTGTTGGGCTCGCTTGGCAAGTCGGTTGGCTCTGGTTGCGTGTGCCACGATGTGGCCGTCGTCGGCGTGCTCGGTCTGCTGCAGGAAAAGGATCCACTGGTCCCAGGTGCGGTCGTCTTTGGGTGTGACGATGCTGGCTGCAGCTGGGGGTGGTGAGTCAGCGAGGCGCCGTAGGTCACGATACAGCTGCTGGAGTTGCAGGTGTCCGTTCCTGCGAGCTCGATGTCTGTACGCGTTGAGGAGTAGAGTGTGAACGCGTGTCCACCAGTTGCTGGAGAAATCGGCGAGAGGCGCTCTCCTCTTGCACTGTAGCTCGCGGACAACTGTGATCTGGTAGCTGGGTCCTGTGGCGCGGCTGACGCCAGTGAAAGGTATCTGGTGGTGTGTGTGGAAAGTGGCCTCGACAGTCGTGGCCCAAGATCCGTAGGCCTGCCCAAGCTGAAGGGTCAAATCAGGCTTGAGCCGAAAAGCTACGGAAGCAGTGGCTGCAGGGGCAGGCATCGTGCAGCTGGCTGGCAGGGCACTGATTTGTTCCCGAGAGGCGCTCCAGAGCAAACTAGGGATTTCGAAATCCACGGCGGTAGAACTCCCCAGATCCTGGGCACGGTTCATTGGGGCCAGGTTGGGGAAAATTCGTGGATTTGGAAAAACTGTCTGGCATGGTCTCCTCGGGTACGACAGGCACGTCGGGGGGGTTCTCACGCTGGGCCGGTGAAAAAGTCTCTGACTGTTGGGCGGGATGAGAAGAAGGGGCAACGGGGACAGAATCGCGGGCGGAGAGAGCAGCGGGCAGCCTGTCCTGGGCGGCGGGCGTGTCTCTCGGGGCGACACCACTAGAGGTCTGAGGCAGAGAGGCATCGGCTGTGTATTCACCGTGTGCCGAGATCCGCGAATCACAAAGATGAACGGATGAAGCATCGGAGGTGGATGAAGCAAACGAGCCGAGCGAGCACTGTTTTGTCTCCTCGCGAGCGGGGTTCGAGACAACAGGCGGCACGGCTGGCCAAAAACTCGTCTCGTGTGCCCACGGGTCTTCCTCCTCGGAAAGCTGGGCTGAATCGACCTCGTCGCCCTCTGATGTGGGGCTGTCGCCAGCACTGGTGGACTCGGCGACGGCATCTTGGCCTTCGCTGGTCCGTAAATCTGCAAAGAGAGTGGCATGAAGAGACTGTTTTCTCTCGGTTGCCTTCTCCATGCGGGCTGCTCGCTGGGCTCTGGCAAGGCTTGCCTTAGACCCAGTAGTAGCAGCCTTGCGAGGGCGAGCGACGTGTGGCAAGCACCTTGGGAGCTGAAGAATTCGCGTGGGCAATTGCTCGCCAGACTGGATGAGCTGGAGACGCAATCCAATGTGGGGCTTCCACGGGACATCTAACACTGGCGAGAGGCTGACCAGGTATGGGCGGGCAGCAGCACTGTGAACGAGAAAGTCCAAATGCGATGGCTTACGTCCTCCACCTGGGTCACATGTGTGTTCGACAGAAGCGCACATGATCTCTCCTTGGATCTGTGCTAGGAAACCTGACTGAGTGAGTGCAGCAGGGCTAAGGTTCCAATCGGCAATGACAAACCAAGGGAGCTGGAGGGAGCGAAGAAGGCTCCCGAGCTTCCTGAAACGGGTTAAATTGGGTCCTCGCATGCCGACACTGCAGAATCCATAGAAGAGAACTGCAACAATAGAATAACCACGGAGATGGAGGACAATGGGCAAAAAGCCGTCGAGGGAGGGGTGAGGGGAAACCTGTAGGTCCTTGGACTGGACCGCCTCGAGGAGAGGGTGGGCATGGAGATGCCCTCTGGGGAGAAACCATTCTCCACCCTCATTCGCGTGTGAAACTGCGGACATGGATTCAGCCTCTAGGTGGGAATCAGCAGTCCACCCTTCAGAATCAGCACGTGATGTGGGCCGAGCGAGGTCGGCGAATAGCCTGCGATTGATGGACCTGAGCCTCCCCTGCCACTGTGTTACACTGGCTGCATTGGCGTGGGTCTCGACAAAACCGATGTAGTCGTCACTGCTGGCCTGGATCCACTCATGGACTTTCTCACCGAAGCAGGTGACATTGCTGAAGAAGAAACTACTAGTACTGGTAGGAGAGTTGGCGTCACCTTCCCCCGTGATGCTGGGGTCACCTCCGCCTAGTCAATGCGAGGTGGCTCGCTTGGTGGCGGTGGGGCGGCCGTTCCCTTTGCCTGCCTTCTGGGCGGCCGTCTCGGGGGCAGTGTCCTTGTTCGTGGCGGCGTGGGCGGCGAACTTGGCGGCGGACAGGCGAGCGGCCTCGGCAGCCAGCGCAGCGTCATCCTCCTGCTGCTGCGCCTGCGCCTGGGCGGCTGCGGGTGGCGGCTCGCCTCCAGCGTCGGCGGCCTCGCCTGCGCTGGGGGGCTGTCCGCCGCCAGTGTGACCGCCAGCGGGCGGGGCAGCACCAGGCGTGGTGCCGGCTTGGCCGTCGTCGCCCTTGCGCTTCTTCTGGTAGCGTGCCTCGCGTGCCTGGCGCACGGCTGTGGCACGGCTGATGAGCTCCTGTACCAGGGGCCCCTTTGTGGCGAACTGCTGCTTGAGCTCCTCAAGCCCCTTCTTGACGGCGTTGAGCTCCTGCTGCTCGGTGTCGGTGAAATCGAGCTCCTCGATCTGCTGGAAGAGCGTGGGGTCCCAGGAGACTGTGAAAGGCGCCTCGGGTGGGTGGTCGGGCTTGCTGGCGGAGTTCTTGACGTCGTCTGGTTGTCCGACTCCTTCGGCATGTGCCAGCGCCTGGGCGGCCTTGCGCTTGGCGGCCTCCGTCTTGGCGACCGCGAGGGCTGCCTCGGCCTCCTTGGCTTCTGCCGTGGACAAGGCCTGGCGGAGCCGCACGACGTTGGCCACGACCTGATTGTGGTGGTTGACTGCACTACGCCACGTTCCGTCTGCCTTCCTCATGGCCTCCACCTCGCTGACCTTGGGCTCGGTCTCCTGGGCACCGAGGCGCTGCATCTGAGCAACGAGGATGGCCCGCAAAGCGGGGTCGGTGGCAGCCGCAAGTGCCTGGCGTAGGTGGCTGGCGAGGGCGCCGTTGTCAGCACTCGGCGTCGCCGTCTCATGGCGAGGGGCGACTGGCGGCGGCGTGTCGGGGTCGATGATCTCCTCGGGCCCGAACCTCACCTGGCTTGGCGAACGAGAGCGGCTGCGATGCATGCGCACGGGCCGATTGCAACGTGGGCATGTGGGGGCCAGCGGGTCGAGGCGGTCGTTGTACTCGCACGTGTTGCAGCCGCGGCAGCGCGTCCATGGCCGCGATGAGGAATGCCAGGCAGCCGTGCCGCGGGCAGCCTGGCTGGTGCTGCGCAGCGGCGGTGCGCGGGTGCGAGCCATGAGCCCCAGCTTTGGTCGACCGTAAAACCTGCAAGGGAGCGGGTGCACGGAAATCCCTCAAGCACCTCGCGGAGGTACTGGGGCAGCCCTGGGAAATGGGGGCCAGGGCCGAAGTGGCTTGAGGGAGGGGGAGGAGGAGGAGGAGGAGGAGGAGGAGGAGGAGGAGGAGGAGGAGGAGGAGGAGGAGGAGGAGGAGGAGAAGGAGGAGGAGGAGGAGGAGGAGGAGGAGGAGGAGGAGGAGGAGTAGGAGGAGGAGGAGGAGTAGGAGGAGGAGGAGGAGGAGGGGGAGGGGTCGGCGCAGGAGGGCGAGCAGCGGTTCGTCGGCAGGCCCCCCGGTTGGTGGGCGACGAACCTGCAGCGGAAGGCGTCCCGCGAGCCAAAAGAGCCTGGTCACACAGCAAGCTCCTGCCTTGATGGCCTTTTGGGCGCGAAGAGCCCTGAGATCCGCGGCCGCGGAGAAGTCGCAGCATCGCAGAGCCCCATATGCCAACCTTGCCAATGTTCTAATTCTTCGCCCCGGAACGACTCCTGACAGCTTGTGGGGGCTGGAAGTGCTACCCCCCTCCTCCCGCAGGTCAAACATGTTGAAAAGACCTGCTCGAACCACGTCGTCGACTCTGGAATCCGGCGTCGCGAATGAATAGCAACACCATGGAGAGTCACGACCAACGCCCCAACCCCCCAACCTTCTGCGGCATCCCTGGGAGCCAAATCGATCCGTGAGAGAGGAGGAGGAGGAGGAGGAGGAGGAAAGGGAGGAGGAGGAGGAGAAGGAGGAGGAGGAGGAGCCAAATCGATCCGTGAGAGGGTGGCCCGGGGCCCGACGGCTGGGCGAGAACGCCTGGCAAAATTGCGCCACCTGGGTCTGGGGCTCGGGGAAGTGGGGCCCAGGACGAGTGGGAGGACGGGGGGAGAAGGTCTGGAAGATTCCACGTCGATGGCCGTGATATCCCCTCCCCTCCCTACTCCCTACCCCCCACCCCACCCTTCAACACCCCCGGCATCAAGCGAACGGAGACCTTCCCTGAAATCTGGCGTCGCAAGCATAAAACCCAAATCCCCGACAAACATGTTTCGCAAAAACAAGAGATCCGGGTGCTAATCCTCGATGTCGGCCTCTGACGCCTGTCATCGGGTGCAAGGGTTGTGAAACATGGGTCCAAGGCGGCAAGATACACCTCGGGAAAGGGGTCGAGACCTTCTTGGCCGCGGATCGAGAAATCACATCGCTGGATGTTAGGGAAGATGACGCCGTGGAAACAAACCACCGAACTTAAGTCGGGCCTGTCCTCCTTCCTACGGGGGGACTTTAGATGAAAACTCAAAACATAGTAAAACAAATCCATCAAAAGGGTCAAAAGTCAAAACATATTCAAACAATCGTCCCCAGAGTATGTTTAAACTATGTTTGAATCTTCCTCCTGTAGAGGGACAAGCCCGACTTAACACTAAACTGAGAGAGATCTTGAGCCAGACCCATCCGCGAGGCCCCCGAAGATCGCAACGGGGCAGAAGCGCATGTCATAAACGAAGCCAGGATCGAAATGGGTCGGACATCTCTGAGGGCTGGCTGGCCTGGAGCATGTATCGGGCACGATGCCCCTTCAAAGAGCTCTGGAACACTCCGAGAGTGTTCCGGAACGCTCCGCAAAGATTTGTCTTCATCTCCGGGGCGCGCAAACATGGATTAGCGATCCATGGATTTGGCGCGCGGTCGCCAAATCCATGGATCGGGGGAGGTGCCCTGCTCAAGATGCGGCCGGTGCCGCCTCGCTCGGCGGTTGTAGTCCGCGATTTCCCATGGAAGCGGAACCCGCCGCTAATCCACGCCCCCTTGATCCATGTTTGCGATCGCCTGATTATCCGAGGCCTACCCAAGGTATCGTGACTCGTGCACGGCGCGATCAGAGGAGAGAGGGCTCTCGCCGCTGGCCTTGAGCAATGGAGTCCTCGCCCTTGCTGACGATGTTGCTGTCGGGCTGGCTGCCGATGCCGCTCTCCAGGGGGGCCGCCTTGTTGTTCATACCCGCCTGCGCCAGAGACGGCGGAGTACGGGAAGGAGGAGGGTTCTCCAGAGGCCTCTGGAGGCCCCCCGCATCCATAGGCCCCCGCAAATAGCCAGACACGCTCAAACAATTCGATCCTCGGACCTTGATCTGTTGATCGACGATCACGACCACGACCACGACGACCCCGACGACACGCGACGGCGATGACCACGACAACGACGACGGCGAAGACGACCACGACGACCCCGACGACACGCGACGGCGACGACGACCACGACTACGACGATGGCGACGACGACCACGACCACGACGACGACGACGGCGGGGGACACGTCCAGGGCGACTCCAAGGGGGGTCACCCACCACTCAGCAGATCGCTGAATCCTCAAGGAGGGCCCCTCAGCCCCCATTCTCCCCAGACTCTCAAAAGCACCTCTCGAGAAGGATGGAGGCCCGGTCCTTCTCGACCCTTCACCCTCGGCCAAAGACCTCCTCGATCCTCGATCCTCGAACGCCGATGCTCCGGCGCGGCTGGCGACCCTGGGGTGCCCGGACCAAGAACCCTCTCATCCTTCGGACCTGGGGCTCCCGGACCAAGACCCTGGGGTGCCCGCAGACCCATGAACCTTCTCGTCCTCGACCGCCCCCGACGGTGGTCCCCCCCCCCCCCGGGGCGCTGCCTGAGCGGCGGTGGCGATGGACGCTCCCTGTCCCGACCGCGGGCCCCCGAGGTCTCGAGGCCCCTTCCCCGCAGCCCACCCGCTCCAGATCCTGGCCCGCAGGCCCGAGGACGGCCCGGCCGACCGGTGAGGAGAAGACACGTCGGCAGGTGAAAGCCTAGCCTCTCGGAGGCCAGCAAGGTCCTCCTGGATCGGTGCTCTGGGAAGGGCGCCCACCCGCTCCAGATCCCTGGCCCGCGGGCCCGAGGACGGCCCGGCCGACCGGTGAGGAGAAGACACGTCGGCAGGTGAAAGCCTAACCTTTCGGAGGCCAGCGCGGTCCTCTTGGATCGGTGCTTTGGGAAGGGCGCCCATCCGCTCCAGATCCTGGCCCGCGGGCCCGAGGACGGCCCGGCCGGCAGGTGAGGAGAAGACACGTCGGCAGGTGAAAGCCTAACCTTTCGGAGGCCAGCGCGGTCCTCCTGGGTCGGTGCTTTGGGAAGGGCCCAAAACGTACACCCAGGGCGACGTACCCTCGGTGAGGTCTCGCATTGGCCGCGGTTCCAGCCACGGCGGGCGCCAAGTCGCAGCAGTTGGGCGCCCCGAGGTGGGCCCTGAGGCCTTCTCCCCAGGGTACGTCTGTTCTGGGGTACGTTTGGCCTCCTCTAAGTGCCGGACCTCTCCCGGCGGCGCCTCGGGCGACGCCCCTCAGAAATCCGCGCGGACCTCCGAACACTCATGCCAGTGCAGTCTTCCCTCTCCCCACGACAGTCCCAGGCATCTGACGAGAAGTTGCTTCCAATCCTCGGGTTCATGTCTCGTGGCCCTTCTCCACATGACGGGCCCCAGAGGCCGACATCGAGGGGAAACGCCAGGAGCGAAACAAAAACCCAGGTCGTCGGAGATCTGTGTCTTCAGGCCTGCACTCGGGCCTCCCGCGGCAGTTCGAGACGACTCTACCCTTTTGCCCCCCTCCCCCCCCTTCCCCAAGCGCTCTCGCCGAGGCGCAGCTGCTGGAAGGCACCCCGAGGCGAGAGAACTTTCAGAAACATCGGGGAGACGTACGACTCGTGTACAGGAGACTCGAGTTGGCCTGACGGAGCCATCATGAACATGACGAGGCCCCATCTGAAATTTGACGCGAGCTCCCGCTGCAAACACCCCACGATATTCGGACCGTCAATCTCCAGGACGCGCTCGTCACAACAATCTGCAAATCCAGGCTCCGGCTCACTCGAGTCTTACGCCTCCCCGAACAAAGCAACACGAACTTTCACAGCCTGGGAAACAACTTGTTTGATTCGCGGGTCGAGAGCGCACCTCTTCCAGTCGAAGCTAAGCGGGCCGTGCGAAGCTTGAATTACCGAAGAGGGGGGGAAGAAGGAGAGGCCTCACGGCAAACCTGGGAAAAAAACAGAGATAGAGAAAGAGAGAAAGAGAGAACGAGAAAGAGAGAGAGAGAGAGAGAGAAAACAAAAAAAGAGAGAAAGAAAGAGAGAGAGAGAGAGAGAGAGAGAACGAGATCCGCGACGGCCGCCCTGCACCCGCCGGGCGGCGGCCCGAGGCCGCCGATGGCCGCCGAGGGCGGCCGAGGGCCGCCGCCGAGGGCCGCCGCCGAGGGCCGCCGCCGAGGGCCGCCGCCGAGGGCCGCCGAGGGCCGCCGAGGGCCGCCGCCGAGGGCCGCCGCCGAGGGCCGCCGCCGAGGTCCTGCCGCGGCGGCGGCGGCAAGAGGCGGGCGGCGGCGCGGCGGGGCGGCGCGGCGCCTTCTCGCCCTGCTGCGCCCAGTGCTTGGCCTCGTCCCACTTGCGCAGCTCGGTGTACCTTCGGGGAGACGTAACACCCGGGTACGGGGGACTCGGAAATCCCCGACGAGGTCGTCAAAAAAATGACGAGGCCGAGCCTGCATTTTGACGAGGCCTCCCGCTGCAGACATCCCACGAAACTCCTCCTCGTCAAAATCCGAGTCGCGGTCGTCAAAAAACGATGGCGAACCCGAGTCCTGGCAAACCCGGGTCTTACGCTCCCCCGATACCTCGCCGCCGCCGCGGTCGGCCCGGGGCGAGCGGGAGGCGGGACGGCGGCAGCCCGGAGTGAGGCCGCGGCGCCCCGGACGTCCTGCAGCGCCGATGGGATCTCAGAGGTTCTCGATTGCTCCTCACCCGCTTTCTTCCTCGTCCTTGCTTCCTCTCACACTGCCTGGATCTTCGCGCGGAGCTTCCTCGTCGAGCCGGCCGCGCTGCTCCCCGTGGAGTGGGCCCGGCGCGGTGGCGGCCGTCGAAATGTTGGTACGTCTAGGCAGCCGCGCAGACACTTCGGTCGTTGGAAGTGGGTCTTTTCGGGTCCCCAGATCCCAGCCGCGGCGTGTTCGGCCCCTGGGGGCCCTGACCGAGCCCCGGGGGCTGTCTGAGCACGACTCGGGAGAGGAGACTGCCGGGCACCGCGCATGGAACAACTCAGGGCATCTCGCGTGTCCACGACGGCGACTGCACAGCGACAGAGGCCCAGCTGTAGGCAGGTCAGCCCAGAGGTGAGGTCATCCGTGGAGGGAGCCCGCAGGGGGAGCCTGCAGCGCGCGACGATGCCTGGGCGAAGCTGGGGCGACCCACGACGAGGGGGGTCTGAAGGATCGGTCCGTGCCGACTGCACGGCCGCCTAAGCCAGTCCAAGGGGGGTGAAGGGTAGAGGAATCTGTACCAGCCAGCATTGACTCCAAATAGATCGTGAGTGATGATGGTCATGATGACGATGATGATGACGAGGAGGACGATCCTGCTTTCCACACGTGCATGGGCATAGGCATAGGCATAGCCATAGGAATTAGGGGGGTCATAGGAATTAGGGGGGGCAACGGACCAATTAGTAGGGTATGAGTTAGAACTCCTGTAGGGCAAGCCTATTTGGAGAAAAACTGCATAAGCGCAATTCCCCAGAGGTCCGCGCGGATTTCTTGGATTCGGACTCGAACGTTTGGGATCGGATCGTTTCTGGCCGAAAAGCCTCTGGCGCACTGATCTTTTGAATGCCGCTTCTCATCGACTTCGTCCTCGCGGGGGCCGCTTTCTGGCCCCAGGGCGACCCCCGTAGACAGGGTTCGATACTTAGTACATCTGGGGACCGCGGATTGAACAAATCATTAGATCGGAAGTCTGGGGAGGAGAAAACGGGGGAGGAGGAGAAGGACGAGGAGGAGGACGAGGAGGAGGAGGAGGAGGAGGACCAGGAGAAGGATCAGGACGAAAGGGGGCGGAGGAGGACGAACAAAGGAGGAAGAGGATGGGGAATGAGGACGGAATATGGATGATGGTGGCGATGATGCTGCTGCTGCTGCTGATGATGATGATGATGATGATGAGGAGGATGATGATGTATATGATGACGATGGCGATTCTGATGATGAGGGCGATAAGGATGAGGATGAGGGTCATGGTGATGGCGATACTGGTGATGATGATGACGACGATGATGATGCTGATGCTGACGATGTTGGTAATGGTGATGAAGATGATGATACTGACGATGGTGAAGACGATTATAAAGAATATGAAGAGGAGTCGGACGATGGAGATGGAGATGGAGATGCGGATCTGGAGGAGGATCATGATGATGATGATGATGCTAATGATGATGAGGATGCTGCTGATGATGGTGGTGATGATGATGAGGATCATGATGACAATGCTGGTGATGATGAGGATGCTGATGATGACGACGATGATGCTTCTGATGATGATGAGGACGGTGATGATGACGCTGACGATGATGATGCTGCTGCTGCTAATGATAATGATAATGATAATGATAATGCTAATGATGAGTGATGAATGATGAATGATGAATGATGAATGATGATGATGACGATGATGATGATGATGATGATGATGATGATGATGATGATGATGATGATGATGATGATGATGATGATGATGATGATGATGATGATGCTGATGCTGATGATGATGATGACGATCACGACGACGACCACGAGGAGGAGGCGGAGGAGGAGGAGGAGGAGGAGGAGGAGGAGGAGGAGAGAGGACCGGAGGCAGCACTCGAAGTCGGAGACCCCCGAGAAGGCTTCGCTACCCCGCCAGCAGCCATCGACAACCTCTGATAAGAACCAGAACGCACCCCAGATCGCTGAACGCATTCGAAAAAACCTCAGAGAACTTTGGAAAGAACCCCCAGAAGTCTCCGAAATCGCTTGACAACCCCAAGCCTCCCCCACCCCCCGCCCCCAACAAAAACTTCGAGCTCGCAACGCTGCTGGCGGTCCGTCCGCGCGTTCGAAGCAGCAAGCCTGGCTACTGGATCGCGGATCGAGCGGAAGCAAAGATGGAGGCGACCGCAGGGGGTGTGAGGCAGGGGGGCGGCGGCGCGCGCTCAGATCGTGCAGACCTTCGAGGAGCGAACCGCTGTCGACGCTCCCCCGAAGGGTCAGCACCTCCTCGAGCAGGCCTGATGGAAGGCAGTCAGCGTCCTGGCCATCGCTCGGACGTCCGTTCCCTGGGTTTTTTTAGGTTTCGTGCGTGTTTTTTTTCGCCAGATGGTCGAGGATGCTCCTCGAAGGTCCTCGCCGAGAAGAAAATGCACACGTCCGAGCGATGCCAAGTGTCCCCCTCGCCATCCCCCCCTTCCCGAGCACGCGGAGCGCGCTGGGGGCAGCGCTGGAGGCGCCGCCAGGGGAGGCGGAGAGGGGTCGAGGATTCTCAGAGCGTGCGTGAGGCGCCAACGTGCTTGCCCACCGGAGCTCTTCAAAGCAACGCAGGCGGCGTAATGAGGGCCGCCACGGGCTTCGGCGGAGCTGAACGAGGTAGCACGCACATTGGGCTAACACATGTCCTGAAGATAATCGATTCGAGTCAGCGCCAATAAGCGAGAACTTCGACAAACCAGGACGCTGGCGTGCCCGAGAAAATCAAAGTCGTGGGTCGAAGCATTCTGCATTATTCGTTCTCTCCTGGTGAAGTCTTCGAACGCCTGGTTAGCGATGTCATGCTTTATGGGGGCCCTGACCTAGTGACTAAACCCAGCACCTCCGGAAGCATCTCCAGAAAACTCCAGAACGACCGCCTCCGAACAAAGGGGCCGACAACACTCTGGAGGCCCGGGCCCTCACCTCCACCGAGACGGCCCGCGACCGCACAGCCGTCGTGCTAATCGCATCAGCCCTTCAGGGCGTGAGTGGTTTAGGGAGTTTCCTCTTCCTCCCCATGCCCCCTCTTCCCCTGGACCTAGACGGGGAGGGCGGCGGGGCGCCAGAGCGTCCAAGATGGCCTCGGCGAGAGAGCCCAAATCATTGCTGTTACTTCGATTTTGGGCCAATTTGGGCCCACCTGGTGGGGGGACGCTAATTGTGTACCCTCCCTTCTTTGGTCGATCACCTCCAAGATGGCCCCCGAGGTTCTCGAGTGCCCCAACAGGGCCCTGAGAGGTGTCCAGGAGGCCCCAAGAGGTCTCCGAGATGCCCCCTAGATACCCCCAAGAGGCTCCCTAAGAGACCACCAAGAGGCGCTGAGAGGCTCCCCCGAGGCTCCCAAGGCGCTTCAAGAGGCCCCTGGGGCCACCAAGAGGCCTCCAAGACGCCTCAACAGGCCTACAAAAAGCTCGCCAGAGACATCTGGAGAGACTCCGAGAAGCATCCAAGAGGCCTCTGGCCTTTCTGCTGTTCGGCCTCCTCTTCATAATTTTCTTCTTCTTCTTCTTCTTCTTCTTCCTCATCCGCCTATTCCTCCTCCTCCTCCCTTCTCCCTTCTCCCTACTCCCTCCCCTCCCCCCCCCTCCCCCTCTCCTTCCCTCTTCCCCTCCCTCTACCCGTCCTCCTCCTCCTCCTCCTCCTCCTCCTCTCCTCCTTCCTCCGGCTCCTCCTCCTCCTCCTCCTCCTCCTCCTCCTCCTCCTCCTCCTCCTCCTCCTCCTCCTCCTCCTCCTCCTCCTCCTCCTCCTCCTCCTCTGTGTCCTCTGGGCCCCAAGGAAACGCGCTCCGCGCTGCAGAACTCGATGACCAACCTAGGAGCCTTCCCGAGACAGGATTTGCAAGGCGAGAGCCTCCGGGCGGCTCTCCCGGCGCCTCCGGCGGGCCTCGTGCGGGTCTGGGAGGAAGGCGGACCCCAGAAGACCCCCCGACTGAGGCTCGCGCCCCGCCCGTTTGACGGCAGAGGGCTGCCCTCCCCTCCTCACTCCTCCTCCTCCTCCTCCTCCTCCTCCTCCTCTCCTCCTCCCTCCTCCTCCTCCTCCTCCTCCTCCTCCTCCTCCTCCTCCTCCTCCTCCTACTCCTCCCTCCTCCTCCTCCTCATCCTCCTCCTCCTCCCCTCCTCCTTCCTCCTCCTCCTCCTCCTCCTCCTCCTCCCCCTCCTCCTCCTCCCTCCTATCCTCCTCCTCCCTCCTCCTCCACCTCCTCGTCCTCCTCCTCCTCCTCCTCTCCTCCTCCTCCTCCTCCTCCTCCTCCTCCTCCTCCTCCTCCTCCTCCTCCTCCTCCTGACCTGAGGCCCCGCCCGAATGCCAGAGCCCCTCCTGAGCTCAGAGAGGTGTCACGGTTCCAGCGTCTTTCGATTAATGGGGCCCAGGGACACGCACATGAATCGACACACATCCCATGATTCCTGAGATGTTTTCCATACTTTCTGGGGTTTCGTCTTTCCCTCCACCTCTCATATTTTCTTATCTTTTTCCCAGGGATCGAAGATTATTTGTGTCTGTGTGCCTTCTTCCCTCTTGAGTCTTGGTTGCAGTCCTCGGGCGCGCTCCGGAGAGCGAGGCGGACCCGGCCGCGGCCGCGAGGCCGCCCCCGTGAGGCTTCAAAAATCATCAAGAAGCCGCCAAACAAGCTTCCGAACCTCGAGCCTCGACGCTGCCGTCTTCCTCCTCTTCCTCCTCCTCTTCAAACTGGCTATCGTGCCAGTGGATTGCGGCACTCGCCCGTCGGTCGCAGAGGTCCGACGCTCCCAAACAATTGGAGCAAAACCGGTTTTGGGCTGCTTTCGGCCCCTGGGGGCCCTCTCCAGGCCTCGGGATCGCCAAACAACGACTCATGACGAAAAACTGGCCCTAGGGAAGTGGTCTGGACCTCCGGGTCCCACGCGTCGACAACATTGGAATTGAAGCAGCCGGATGTCCGGTGTCAGGGCTTGGACCTGCTTTCGTGGACAGCCGTTCCGCTCCTCCTCTGCAGAGTCAGTCCCCGGGCCTTCCCCCGGGGTCCTTCTTGGTAATTTTTTGGTCGCCCCGCATTGATTACTCACAGCCTCTGGGGGCCCAGCACTGGCCTCCGTGGCCCCCTGCTGGAGGCCGAACATGGGCAAAGAGCTGCTCGAACCTCGTCGTCGACCCTGAGATCCGGCGCCGCGGAAAAAACGACCAGAAGCCTGCACCCCAACTTCGTGCGGCAAGGCTGGAGCGGGATCGATCTGTGAGGGTCCTCAAAGGTCTCCCAAATAGAGTCCGAGCAGATGGGGTCGGAGGATCGCACCGCACCGCCAGTGCATCGCCGATGCATCGGCGACGTCGGCGATACATCGGCGACGTCGGTGTGGAACAAAATGGGCTCGACATACCGATGCATCGGCACCGCGGCGCGATCCTCCGACCCCATCTACTTGGACCCGCTCGTGATCCAGTCTTCGGGTCATAGCTCGGGCCCCTGGCGGCTGTTCGGAACAGTCTCGGTACCCCCAGACTGCTCTCGACGAGGCGCAGCCGATGGAAAACCATCCTGGAACTCCAACATGTCAGAAAACTGCCGAAAACTTTCAGGAAGGCGCCGACACGAAGCGCGTTTTACGCGACGTGGCACAGCCACCTTCAGCGGTGGCTTACGCGGACCGCCAGCGTGCCACGCCGCGTTGAGACGAAGGCGCTCACGCGCGGCCCTGCGCGGGCAGCTCTCGCGCCACTGTCGGTAAAGCAGGCCCCGCTCTCTCGTCTGCTGATTTTTCGGGAGGCCTGGAGGCCGGGTGAAGACGCCTGACGCCCGGCGCGGAAAGAGGAGGAGCAGGAGGAGGAGGAGGAGGAGGAGGAGGAAGAGCAAGAGGCGGAGGAGGAGGAGGAGGAGGAGGAGGAGGAGGAGGAGGAGGAGGCCGCCTCCCCGAGGTCGAGCCGTGGGCGCGGCGGCGGCGGGGCGGTCGCATCTCGACCGCGAGGTTGTGCTGCTTGGCCTTCCCGAAGCACTGCGCGGCCTCCCCGCAGCGCTTCGTGAGGCCGTCGTCGTCGGCGTCGGCGTCGGCGTCGGCGTCGGCTTCGGCATGGCCGTGGTCGCCGTCGTCATGGCCGTGGTCGCCGTCGTCGTCGTCGTCGTCGTCGTCGTCGTCGTCGTCGTCGGCGTCGGCGTCGGCGTCGGCGTCGGCGTCGGCGTCGGCGTCGGCGTCGGCGTCGGCATGGCCGTGGTCGGCGTTTGTCATGGCCGTGGTCGCCGTCGTCGTCGTCGTCGTCAGCCTCGTCTGCTTCGTCGTCGTCGTCGTCGTCGTCGTGGTCGCTGTCGTCGTTGTAGTGGTGATGGTGATCGTCGTCGTCGTCGTGGTGGTCGTCGTCGTGGTCGTGGTGGTGGTGGTCGTCGTCTTCGTCGTCGTCGTCGTGACCGTCGTGATCGTGATCGCTGTCGTTGTTGTGGTCGTCGTGGTCGTGGTCCTCGTGGTCGTGGTCGTGGTCGTGGTCATCGTGGCGGCGGTCGTGGGCGCCTTCGGCGCTCCCCCCCAAAGAGAGGGGGGGGGGGCGCATTCTCAAGATCCCACCCACCCCGCTCCTCCACCTCTCCCTCCCCGTCTTCCGAGGATCGCAGCTGACAACTTTCGGATGATTTTGCTCCCTTGCGGTCTCGAGAAACCATCCCGCCTGCCTCCGTAGACCGCCCGTCTCCTCCCTCTCCTTCCTCTCCTGCTCCTACTGCTCCACCTCCTGATCCTGCTATGGGTGCTGCTGATGCTGCGGCTGCTCCCCCGCTGCTGCCCTCCTCCAGAGGGCCCCAAGGCGGCCCAACAGAGCCTTAAGACGGCGCCTGGACAAGGACAAACCAAGAGGGCCCCGTGACGGCCCTGGAGGGCACCCAAAGCCCTTCTCAATCCGTCCCCGAAGCGCACATAAAGGAGAGCCCGAAGACAACATAGGGCGCTCTCCTCCTTCCTCCCTCGTGCCGTCTCCCTTTTCCGTGCCACCCCTGACGCGCCTTCGTGGCCCCATCGGGAGCTCCACCGAGGGCCCCAAGGGCCACGATTGCGAGAGGGGCCCCCGCCCCGCTTCTCCGTCTCACCTGCCCGGCGGCACTCGCCACTGCACGTGGCCGGGCCCTTCGCTGGGATGTCGTCGCTCGCTCTTGCTGCTGCCGTTGTACTCTGTCCCTCCACGCGGGAGCGCACGGATCGGCCCGCGCGCCAGGAGGGAAGCCCCGAGAAGCCGAGCACTCGCCGCAGAGCCGGGGCCGGCGCCAGGCGCGCGCGGGCCCGCAGGCGGCGGGGCGAGGCTCCCCAAGTCTCCGATGCCTTCATCTGCTCTGGGCGGAGTCTCCGGAGCTCTGGATGAGGAGTGACGAAGGGGGGGGGTGGCACTGGCATACACAGGAGGCATCTATACACCACCACCGTGCCAAGCCAGGGCCATTCTGGCCCTGGCACGGTGTATACGCCCTCCTGGCCGAGGCCAGGAGGGTCTATACACCATCCTAGGGCCCAGGATGGCCCTGGCCTGGCACGGTGGTGGTGTATAGACGCCTTTGTCGGATGAGGAGGAGGAGGAGGAGGAGGAGGAGGAGGAGGAGGAGGAGGAGGAGGAGGAGGAGGAGGGGGGACACGTCGACCTGGAATCGGCGATACATCGCCGACACATCGGCGGTGGGCCCCCCCATGCTGAGCCCCGCACGCTCCTGGGCAGGCTGGGGCCGTCGGGCCTCCAACGGCGATCCATGGCCGATTGGGGGTGGATGCTCCCCCCGCTGTGCCCATCCCCCCCCTAGCCTTGCTCCTGACCGGGCCACTTCCTGGGGACCAGCCTTTCGCCCCCGATCGCTTTCTGACGGCCCCGGGGCCCGGCGAGGGCTCGTCTTGAACTTGGCGCTGCGCCACGGGAGGTCTGGCGCCGACGAGTCCTGCGCCCCCCCCCCCCCTGCGCAGCGGCGCGCCTCGGCGTACTTGCCCTGAAAGGCGAGCACCTGTGCGGTAATGAGCTGCTCCTGTCGGCCGCTCTGCGGCCTCCTGCTGCTGCTGCTGCTGTCTTTCCTGTCTCTATCTGTATTCGCATCCTCCTTCTTCCATTTCTCTATGTTCTTCTAGCCTCCCGCTGTTAACTATACGCGCAATATTTGAAGGCTCGCTTCGCTACGCATCAGATCTTGGTCCTACGTCCGTGTGCCTTCGGACGACTATGGAAAGATGAAGCGGTAGGACGCTGTTAGAACTGAGCAGGGACCGACCGTCCCGGTTTTCCTGTAGGCCTACCACGACATGTTCTTATAACCCCCAAATGTTCTTCGAATCGCAAGAATACGGTTCTTAGAACAGAAACCCGATGTGTTAAACACACGACAGTCTCGGCCAGATATGTTCTTCGTGCAAACCACAAAATGCTCTTATAACATTCTTTGGTGGGCCTATAGGCAGGCCAGGACGCCTCGCCACTGTTCGGTAGAAGCAGGGCGGGGGGAACAATCAGGTGGAGGGCAGGAGCAGAAACGGGAGATACCATGAGGAAAGACAAATGTTTGAGGCGGACTCGCCCAGGCGAGGGAAGAACAACTGGCGGAAGAGAACAGGCATGCGGAGCGCAAACATTAGGCAGATGTATGAAGCAGAAAAGGGGGGATAGCGTTGATACAGGAAATACAGCCGCGGCAAGGATTCAAATCATGACTGCAACAGGGCTGACGGTAATACTGAAAGGGGGAGCCACGGTGATGATCATGCCATGCGGGAGCGAGGTTAGTAACCTTTGTGCGGGGTCTTGGACAGGATCGTGAAGGGTTGCAGGTCGATGTATTGGATAACTAGTCTCCTTGTCTCTGTATGTACGCATTCTAAGCATAAAAGTAAACATCATAGAAAGAGAGAGAGAGAGAGATAAATAAAGAGAGACAACTATAGTTAGAGAGAGAGAGAGACGCACACACATACACAACACACAGCACACACAACACACAACACACACAACGCACACACCACACACACAACACACAAACACACAAACTCACACACAATCACACACATCGATTCATTCATACATACATATATATAACATGCACAGACATACGGACATACATGCGTGTGTGCGTACGGCCATACATATACACATACATACATACATACATACATGCATGCATGCATGCATGCATGCATGCATGCATGCATGCATACATACACACATACATACATACAGACATATATAC